AGTGATTGCAATAATATCCTATGTTATAACCACTATTTGTTTTTCATTCCATCTTTAATAACAAATAGCTACTACATGACCTATTTAAAAACATAAAACTTACAGGGCAAGGGTTTAATTTTATTGTTATTATTATAAAACTGAAATGACAAAGGAACTTACTTTCCACTTGATGGTGAGCAGCTGCTGCAGTCCATTGACTCCTTCGATTGACTTCAAATAGAGACGGTTTAATTTTATTGTTATTATTATAAAACTGAAATGACAAAGGAACTTACTTTCCACTTGATGGTGAGCAGCTGCTGCAGTCCATTGACTCCTTCGATTGACTTCAAATAGAGACGGTTTAATTTTATTGTTATTATTATAAAACTGAAATGACAAAGGAACTTACTTTCCACTTGATGGTGAGCAGCTGCTGCAGTCCATTGACTCCTTCGATTGACTTCAAATAGAGACGGTTTAATTTTATTGTTATTATTATAAAACTGAACGGCGACGAGGTTCGCCACCCGTCACGTTCTGTCTCCCGGAGGGGCGAAAAGTGGAGTGCGGAAACCCGTCTGGCTACGTTGAATGTATGTGGAGGAATGAATGATAAGATGGATGAAGTATGCGAAATGATGAATGACAGAGGAATAGATGTGTTATGTGTGAATGAGACGAAACGAAAGGGAAAGGATGCTACTGCACATGGTGCGTATACCGCGTATTGGTCTGGTGTAGGCGAGACCGAACGGGCGTGCCAGGGAGTCGGTTTCATCCTTTCAGAAAGAATGGGTCAATGTGTGAAAGAGTATGAATGTGTAAGCCCGAGACTGCTATGTATACGAATGAAAGTGGGCTTAAAGAAGCTGTTCCTGCTAGGGGTGTACGCCCCAGACATGTCTAAGCCCACTTACATCCGAGAGCAGTTTTGGGGCATGGTAAGGATGGTGTTGACGAAAATGTAAGGAAAATGAAAATATTATTATGTTAGGAGACTTTAATGGAAGGGTTGGGGTGAAGAGGTCTGGTTATGAAAGGATATTGGGAACGTTTGGTGATGAAAGTATAAATGAGAATGGTGAAGACCTCCTCACCGTATGTGCGGAAAAAGAATCTTTTTGTGACGAATACTTTTTTCGTCATAAGAAGATTCACATGTATACATGGGAAAGAGGTGATGATAGAAGCATGATAGATTTCGTAATTGTGGATGAAAGAATAAGGAGCGCAGTCGTAGATACAAGGGTTTACCGGGGGTCCAACGTAGGGACGGATCATTACTTGGTCTTATGTCGAATTAATGGTCTTTTCAAGCGTTGGCGGCATCGGACATCTGTATCTACCACTGCGTTAGAGCGTATAAGAATAGAGAAGTTACAAGATGAAGATGTGATAGAGAAGTATAAATGTAGACTCAGAGAAAATATTAGATGTTTGAATGAGTTGTGTATGAAGGATTTAGACTTGAATACTGTGTGGGATAATATTAAGAAAGGTTTGGTGGATACCGCCACCGAAGTATGCGGTGTAAGTAAGAGAACAAATGAAAGGAAAAGTAATACGTTATGGTGGGATGATGAGGTACGGGTGGAAGTTGAATCAAAGAAGAAAGCATGGTTAGATTTACTAGCAACCAAAGCTGATAATTCTTCTGGTATGAATGATGAGATTGAAAGAAAAAGGCAGAATTTAGACGTCTAAATAAGAGAGTAAAAGAAGTAGTTGAAAGGAAAAAGAAAGAAAGAACGGATAAGAATGATAGAAGGATATCTGATAATTTCCAGGCTAACATAAAAATGTTCTGGAAACTCGTAAGAACTGCCAGGGGAAATACAAAACAGCCTATAATAAATGCTATAAGAGACGAGAATGGATGTATTCTGAATGATGAAGTTTCGAATTTAAACAGATGGAAGGAATACTTTGAAAGCGTGTTTATGAGTGAAGAGTCGTATGAATTAAATGAACTAGAAATTCCGAAAGAAGTCGAAAGGGGTATGGAGATAAGTGTAGATGAAATAATGAAAGCAATGAAAAGCATGAAAGCAGGTAAGGCAGCTGGATATGATAGAGTATCACTCGAGATGCTAAGGGCTGGAGAGGGAGTGGTGGCAGGCCTGCTGTACACCTTGTTTAATTTATGTTGGGAATTAAAACGGGTACCGGATGACTGGTGTAAAGCAGTTATAGTACCAATATATAAAGGAAAAGGGTCGCAGCAGGACTGCAAAAACTACCGCGGTATCAGCTTGCTTAGTATTGTGGGTAAACTGTATGCTAAGGTGTTAATTGAAAGAGTTATGAAAGAAACTGATGGAAAAATTTTGGATGTGCAAGCGGGTTTTAGAAAGGGAATGGGGTGTACAGATCAAGTCTTTTCCATGCGCATGATTGCGGAGAAGTTTTTGACCAAAAACCAGAAAGTTTTTTGTGCGTTCATGGACTTGGAAAAGGCTTATGACAGAGTGGACAGGAATGTGTTATGGCAAACACTGAACTCATATGGGTTGAGCGCTGGTTTGATACAGGCATTAAGGTCTCTTTATAGGGACTCTAGTGCTTGTGTCAGGATCAATGGGGTCTACTCGGACTGGTTTGGCATCCAAAAAGGTGTCAGACAGGGCTGTGTGGCTTCCCCTTGGCTGTTCAACCTATTTATGGACCGGTGTTTGCAAACTTTGAAAGATGAAGAATGTGGGATAAGAATGGACGAGATAACCGTCAAATGCCTTTTGTATGCCGATGATCAAGTCATACTTGCGTCATCGGCGGCAGAGTTGCAAATGATGGTTACATTAATGAACTGGGAATTAAAAGAAAGGGGAATGAAAGTGAACGCAAGTAAGACGAAAGTGATGGTTTTTGAAAGAGAAGAAAGCAAAACGGTATGTGAAATAAGAATAGAAGGAGAGTTGATTGAGCAAGTGGATGAGTTTGTGTATTTGGGATGTGTATTTAGCAGGGATGGTAGATATGATAGGGATATAGAACGACGAGTAAATGCAGGGAATAGAGTGAATGGGGCACTACACTCTATTATGAAGAACCAGAATTTGTCAAAACAGGCACGTATGGTAATTCATAATGCTGTGTTAGTCCCTACTTTAATGTATGGTAGTGAAAGCTGGGAGTGGCAGAAGAAGCACGAAAGTAGAATAAATGCTGTAGAAATGCGGTCTTTAAGGAATATGCTAGGGTGTAATCTGAATGACAGGGTGAGAAATTGCGTGATAAGAGATAAATGTGGTATGCAAGATGATGTTGTGACCAGGATTAAGAAAGGAATGCTTCGGTGGTTTGGTCACGTAGAAAGAATGAATGAGGAAAGAGTGACAAAGCAAATTTATATGGCAGATGTGAATGGCCGAGTCGGGAAGGGACGCCCTAGGAAAAAGTTTATCGACCAAATTGGCGATATTTTGAAAATGGGCCACGTTAGAAGTACCCTTAACCGACGAGCATGTATGCGTAGATATATGGATGTAAATTAGGCGAAAGAGGTATGTCAGGATCGTGCCAAATGGAAGTCCGTAGTCTCTGCCTACCCCTCTGGGTGACAGGCGTGAGTGTTTATGTTATGTATGTATATATGTTTATAAAACTGAAATGACAAAGGAACTTACTTTCCACTTGATGGTGAGCAGCTGCTGCAGTCCATTGACTCCTTCGATTGACTTCAAATAGAGACGGTTTAATTTTATTGTTATTATTGCTGTGCAAAGATCACACTGATCTTTTTTGGGTATAAAAAAACTGATGTTAAACTCAGTATTAAAAACTTTTCTATTAATATGTATTTTTACAAATTCGATATTTTTTTTCAATGCAATCGGCTTTATAATCTTTGTATAAATCAGCAAGCGTCTTTCCTCCGTCGATAAATTCTCTAGAAGTTTGTTTTCGTAGATTGTGACTTTCTATACGAGGTATACTATTGATGTGACGTCGCACTTCAATTAAATTACCTTCAGAAATGGTTTTTTTATTACTGTGTTTGCCCCTTTGTTCAGGGTCTACTATACCTTGCTCGTTCTTCTTGTCTATCACTGTTCTAATAGGTCGATCACCAATTCCAAGAGTATTTTTAAAAAATATTTTACACACTCCGTTTTTTTTTACCATTTATCTCGAAATGGAATGCATTCTTTGGTTTTCTGCTGCTATTAAGTCTTTTGTACTGATATTTAGGAAATACGTTAACTAAATTATTAGCTATATAATCTCTTTGACGTGTTAGTTAGCCCAGATTCCAAAACGAGTCAAATAATCTTTTGCGGTCATCTTCAGCAATAATATCACGACATTTAAGCCGACACTTTTCATTACAGGGTCCTCTCATCACCCTTTCTGCAACAATTTTTGATGATGTAGATACGTATGATTGTCCTCGATTTCTTCGAGTCTGAGCTGTCTTTTTTTTATTAATTCGTCTGATTTTTTTCGACTATTCCTATTGCCTTCTTCTACAACATTTCTGATAGTAGTAGGTTGGATTGTAGAGATTTTGTCTACAGCGGCAGAAGCCAATGATGTCAACGATGGACACTGGTGATTTCTCATCGAAAAACATTCAGAAGAAGAACTTGACGAAGACGAAGAACTTGACGAGGAAGAGGAACTAGACGAAGAATTGCTCGATGATGAATCTGAAGAAGAAGAAGAGTCTGATCGTCGACGGTTTGCAGTGGATGGTTTTAATGGTAAGTAACTTGGGTCATCGTCTGAAGCAGGTGAAAAATCACGTGGAGATGCACGACTGGAGGTAGATGACCTGGAATTTCTTCTTTCTGCATGAAGTTGTTCATTTGGAGGCAAGTTTTCATCCACATGAAGGGGTTCCTCCTAAAATAAGTAATTATTTTAAATAACACAATAAGTAAAAGAAATGCATCTCATAACTCATGCAGTGATATTCTTAGCTGGGTGACTAGGAGAAGAACAAGGAAAAGACAATAAGCTTTTTTAGTTATTTTAAGTTAACCGCTTATTGTTTCAAATGGTGGTAAGGTAAGTAATGTATTCTGAATAGTATTCTTAGTTTGATATTATAAGGTAAGAATGTCCTACTGTTTTAGGTAAGGTAATAAGAAACCTGTTCAGCTTTCTGGTGATCTTTAGGTGTGATTTCTTGGGAAGGCACAATATTAAATCCAAGATTGTGGTTAGAAATATCTTAATTTGCATTTTGGTTAATGTCTTCTTCATTGCGAGTTGATTCACAATGATTTTTTGGGGGTCTGGTGTGTCGTTGGTGTATTTGCACTTTCTAAATGAACAGGTTCATTCTGGATACCATGACACGTTCTTTTTTTTGAATTCTTCTTTATCATCTTGTGTGTCCTCAAGCAGTCTTCTAGAAATATTCTTGAGTTTGTTTATTCTCGCATTTCGTAAAGGCATTTTAAGTCTGAAAACAAGCAAATAATGGTCAAAATTACTAAAAAGGAAGATCATTTAATTAATTGACTTTAGAAGCATTAAATTATATGAATAACCAAAACCAATATTAAAATATACAAATTAATAATGACTCTAAACAAAATTCTTTGTTGATTTCAATGTTATTTTCCGTGCTTGCTATTTGGCTTAAAAGGAAGAATGACACAAAAAATCATCCATCACATCCTGAATTAATCATCAACTCAAATGTTTCAAATTCTGTAACGCGAAGAGTGACACTAAATAAAAAAACGTCAGTATGTTGTTCCAATTGAATACAAACCCTCTGTTTGGCTTAAGGAAGAATGACACTAAACGAATAATGACATCCTGAATCAATAATTGACTCAAATACTTTAAATTCCGTAACACGAAGAGCGACACTACATAAAAAATGGCAGTAGGTTGTTCCAATTAAATACAAACTCTCTGTTTGGCTGAACGGAAGAATGACACAAAACGAATAATGACATCCTGAATTAATAATCGACACAAATAGTTAAAATTCCGTAACATGAACATCGACACTAAAATAAAAATGACAGTATGTCGTCCCAACATAGCAATTTTTACAAAATAATATAGCATAATACACGATACTTATCAAAAATGTGACGGTATTCGTATTAAAGTTAATTCGTACTTACGAAATATGATCAATCTAAATCGCCTTTAACCAGAAAATGTCACTATGGAATACACTAGATGAAACCGTTTTTGTTAACTTCACAGTCACGAATGAAAAAATGGCGGTCTG